AAGAGTTGGCATCCGATAGTCGACTACTCCTTCGCCAATTTGTGGAAACCTTGGATGGGGCGGCTGTCAAATGGTACGCTCGCCTGCCTCCTAACTCCATCCACTCATGGGACGAAATGGAACACTTGTTCTATACATGCTTTTATGAGGTCGAGCGAGAAGTTCAGGCCATTGAACTCCTCACCATGACCCAAGGGCCAAATGAGTTTATTGACAAGTTTTTCCAAAGATGGAGGGACCTCGTGGTGTACCAAAGCATCCCTAAGTCCGAGGCGGACGCAGTTCGAACCTGTGTTCGAAATAGGAGGAAAGAGATCTCGCTCCATGTCGAGGCTTCCAATCCCGTCACCTTTTCCAACATGATCTTTAAAGCGGTGCGAATTGAAACCTTGTTGAAGCGTCACAGAGGCACTCAGCCACCAGTTTCAAATGGAGGAACAAATCAGAACTTTAGTAACAATTGGCCTGGTCTACGCGGTAATCAGCAAAAGGATGCAATCGCTGCGACGGTCACGGCCACGCCGACGTATGCCAAAGATCCCGCTAGCACGACTCCCATGAAAACCTTGGACATCTCCTCAGAAATACCACAATTAGGAACTCAAGGGGAGTCTCAACAAAAGCAGCAACAGCCCCAATCATACAATCGGGTGCCTCTGCCTCCGAACCTCTATCGTGATGACTTCAAGGAATGACTTAACAAGAAATATAGCTTCAATAGGGTTTGGACCCCAATGATTGTACAAATGTTGTTGGATCAAGGAATGATAATCCCCCTGGAGCCAAGGAGACCCGAAGAGGTGGGCCTTATGAATCAGAGAAGATACTGTGTCTACCATCAAATGTTGGGGCATGTAGTCGAAGACTGCTTCCACATTAAGGATCACATCGAGGCTCTGATCCAAAATGGACAAATTCAATTGAACAACCTCAACAAGGCATTTAAGGCAACCAAGGCCTCCCATGTAGTCATAGTTGAAGAGAAGCATCTTCAGAGTGCGCAACCAAGTGAGTTGTTGCTTGATCTTTTCCCTATGATATTTACCATTCTCATCAACGAAGGAATGATCTGCCCTCGTTTGCCCAAAAAGCCAAGGGTGTGAGAATCTCTAATGCCCATACCATCAGCTAATAGGTCACAATATATCTCAGTGCTGGGATTTCAGGTCCATCTTGAGAAAGTTCATGGCAAATGGTCAATTAGTTGTAACGAATTCGACACCATCACAAGGGGGTCCCATCCAAGTGCCTGACCCACTACCCTTTGAACTTCTCAAAGAAGCTCACTCACTTGAGTAAATACCCCTGGAACCTCTCGTTTCGCAGAGCCTCCTTCACCGTCCTAGCCTTGTCAAGTCTACCATGGACATGGCATGACCAAAGCCCATAAAAGAGAGGCAATTATGGCACCTATGCCATACCATCGACGCACACCGTCCCTGCCAGCAAGAAAGGGAAGGGTAAATGTGCTTCAAGGGTTCCTCGTCGAAAGAAAAGAATACCTCAACCTCCCGTTGAATCAGTATTCCTCTCACCGGTACCTCTGCTTTCGACTTTGTACGATTTCATCCCTCGACAAGTCCTCTTGTCGTCCGATGACCAACTCGATTATGTGAAGCAAACCAAGAGGCCACTCATGATATGGCTCCCATATATGCCATTCATGATATGGCTCCCATATATGCCATTCATGAAGAGTCCGACATGGGTGAAGACTCTAAAAGCACCCCTCAATGGTCCAACATGGGAGATGACCTTAAAAGCACCCCAAAAAGGTTCCGTAACCGATGGCACACTTTTGCCTATGAAAGGTTGCCTCCTTAAAAAATGTTCCTAGAAATTCACAGAAAAATATGAAATATGACCGAAAAATTATTAAATATGCTGGGAAGACTCACAAGAAGGTACCTGAAGTTACCTTCATTGGTCTTGATACACAACACACTGCGATTCCCTAATAAGGGTTTCAATGTGCCACTCTTGTCTTATCAAATTTTGGGTGGCATGACCCTTTAGGGAAGGGGGAGAGGGAGAAACAAATTATTAATGAAAGAGAGAGATAGTTGGTGTATGGAGGAGAGAGAAATATGTGTCTTGAGAGAGAGGGACTCGATGATGTTTAAGTTGAAAAAATTCCTTCTTCTATTTGGATTAGAATTCCTCCTTAGATATTGCCAATCCGATGACACAGCTTGACGAATAGGAACTTAGAAGATCTGTGGGGTGAGAGATAACAAATTTAAGTCATCCATCCCACAAATCAAACATCATGATTTTGTAAGGATTATTAGGAACCTTGTCCCCTTATATTTAAATTAGAATTATAACCAATCCAAAATTTTCTTGATATCTTTCCAAAGTTTGTAGGAAGTCAAAATAATTAGAGTTTTTGTCAAACCAAACTTCTAATTAAAACAATATTTTAATATTTAAAGTTTCCCTTAAAATAACCTTTAACAAAAAAAGACATGTCACATAAATAAGAGAATCCCCCAAGAGATTAAGCGGTCCCCACAATGGCCCATATCCCATCTATGGGTGGCACACATGTGGGGATGGATCCTAGGCCCAGCACTTGCCCTTCCAAATTGCAGCTAAATTTTTAAAATTTTGGAAAACTTGTTCATTGAAACATTTCTAATATCAAAATAAAATATTTTAGAAGTGGACTGGTACCATTTGGGTCAAAATTAGCGACAATAAGGGCACTCTACTTGACCTAAGAACCATGATCTACTATTGTTTTCTCATCCAACCCAACAAAGACCCATGACCTACAGTCTCAATACAGAGGTTCATGTTTTGCTTGTTAAAGTTGGATAATAAACAATAGAACCATGATCCTGGAATGTGGATTTCAGTTCGCTCTTAAGAGCAAATCTAGCACTCGTCACAGCAGTGCAAAGGGGCTCTCTCTATGCACATTTACAAGTGGCCCTTTATAGGGCTGTTTCCCAGTAATGCGCTGTCATGTGTACATGCTGTGTGGAAGGTTGTTGACGTTTGGCCCTTGCGTTCACAGGTCTACAACCACATACAGGAGACCACACAATTCTCTTGGCCTACAACCATCATCCTTAGGGATCTCTTTGACCTCAACAAAGGATGATCCATTGTAAACCCTTTTTAGTAGTGCCACATGCCTAGTGGTAAGGGCTTTGGACATAACCAGGGCCATAAACCGCCTAACCCATGGTCAGTCAACAAACACACTCCCACTGAAGTGCAAATTCCACTATAAATTATAATTTTTACAAGTTCTCTAGGCTTTTAAAGGCCACAAAACCCAACACCATCTGGTTGATATTTTGCTGTGTATACCCATCAACACCCAATAGTCCTTTTTCTAGCTGGTAACTCATGAGCTTCCATCTATCATTCAAGTAGAGTGCATCCATTTTCCTCGTCCATTGCTTTCTTCAACCTAGTATGAGAAAGTGCTTCCTGACAAGATTTAGTGATCCCCTAGTTCATGATCCCCGAACTGACCAGTTGGGGTACCGTTTCACCGTTTCTCAATCTGAACTAGTCGGTCCTGTTTGGTTTTAATTTTGTAGCTCTTAAACATACTCTATCGATTTTGTTTGAGAAGTTCCATGGATGGTTTAGATTGTGGACTACCGACTTTTATTTGTATGCAGGTCTGGTGATCTTATTATAGGAGATATTCGCATATGATATGTGATGTGGCATTGGTCTAAGAAGGGTGATGGCCTTAAACTTTCCCTTAACCTGTCCCATGCCCGAGTAAAAGGGCTGGGTCGTGTTAGGTAGGCATCCAATGTAAAATTTTGCCAAAACTCATCATGAATCCTAAACGGACCAAGATTTGTGTAGCTGACCCCAATTAATTTGGAAAAAGCTATGATGATGTGATGTGACACTAATCCTTCAGAGGATAGAGGATTTGGGTCGCTTGTCTTACTTTCTGGGAGTTGAGATCACAAGATCTTCTTTTGGAACCATTTTAACTCTACAAAAGTATGGATGAGCTCTTTTGAAATGAGTGTTTCTGATTTATGTGAGCTTAATTTTTTATGTGCATATGAGGACTTGGCAACAGAAAAAGAAAGAGCCTAAAGTGTGAGAAATATCATAAATAAAGTTACGAGAAGTAAGAAAGAGAGGTCCTTAAGAAAGGGATCATGCAAAAATATTCTGCATGCGAGGGATTCCACATAGGTTTAGGCGAGAATAAAATATGGGTTTAGTGAAGGAATGTGCATCTAATGAGCTGAAGCGGGGTGTTGAATAATCATGTCTCTCTATACAACACAGAGGTGTTGTATAGATTCTTATCAAGGTTTACACAATAATTTTTTCTCCTTCATTTACATTGTATTCATTGTGTCATTTATTTGTTCTCATAGACATTATATCCAGAACATAAGTTGTACTTTTGGCTTACGGAAGTTAATTAGAATGGGTGCAGTATCTTCTCTCCCTGTTCTTCAATTTACTTTTTTCATGGTATTTGTGTAGTTTCTTGCTCAACGGTCAATCTTTTTCTGATCCAACATATTAAAAGATAAGTAGGGGACTTGTAGTTTCTTGCTCAGTGGTAGTGGTCAATCTTTTTCTGATCCAACAGATGAAAAGATAAGTAGGGGAATAGCATAACCACAAATAATTTGATCTTTAACAGTAAGCTACTGAAAATTTTCCCTGCTTTTTGTGGATTTGAGAAAATATTCTGACAATGTATCAACTATTGATATCTTCATTTTACCAACCTTGCTATGAGGACATTGAATGTCTTTGCTTCTGTTTGTTCTTAGTACGATTGTAATTTTTTCATGCTTGTTGATGATATTGCATTTAGATGTGGCATATGTGTCTTGCTTAAATGTTTTTGATTTATTTGCTTTTGATATATATTGTGTTATTGATTTGTTTCCTTGTGATGAATTATTAAATGTATGTGTCTTTTTAGGGAGAAGGACCTGCCATTTGGCTAGTCGAAATTGATGTAAAGCTTTATTTCCATAATCATTTTGTAGGGGGGACGGGGTTTGCATATCACTCTCAATGCTCACTCAAGGAAATTCTTTGGAATTCTTAATGGCATTGACAATGAGGCATGGGATCCTGCAAGGGACGCTTTCCTAAGATTTCAATATAATGCAAATGATCTTCATGGAAAGGCAGAAAACAAGGATGCCCTACGAAAACAGCTTAAGCTCTCTTCTATTGATGCTAATATGCCACTTGTGAGTATCTTTACTGTTTTATAATGAACGACATATCTCATGAACATCAATTCTTCTTTAGTCATGAATTATGATACCATTTTAAGTTGAAAATTCCTTCAAACCTTAGAATGTGGTTTGGCTAAAGTTGGTCTATAAATAAAATTATGTACAACCAAGTTCAGGCTAAGGGTCGTTACCTAACTTATGGAATATATATGTTCAATCATGTAGACATCATGCTGATGTTGTCTGCAGGTAATTTCTGTTTTATTTTCTTTTTTATGTTCACATACAAGAGAATGGCATTTTGGGATTTTTAATAATGTTTAAGGGTGGCATGGGTTTTTGAATTAATTTGATAAGTGGGGGTAGTTTGGTACTTTATTATAATTAGAGTTTAGAAGATTGGTTATTTGCAAACTTTGTTAAGTTGGGGGGAGTTTTATAAACTGAGTTTTGTTAGGGTTTGTGGCCTTTAAAGTCCGTGAGAGTAAAACAATAATATATTGAATTATGCACATCAGTGGGAGAGTATGATGGTTGATTGACTTAGGATTTATGGCCTTGGTCATTCCAAAACCCTTACCTGGGCATAAGCACTATTGTTGAGGGTTTTTTGGAGGGTCATCCCTTTTTGAAGTCAAGCGATGCCCCAGGGACGATGTTTGGAGGCCAGGAGTGCTTCGTGTTTTGCTAAGTTCGGTATAAATTTGTGAGGGCTAAATCCTCAACAATTTTACACGACATGTACATATATAACAACTGTATTTTGGGAAGCGACCTTGTGTAGGGATATTATACATGTGCAGAGAGAGATTCCTCCTTGCATTATAGTGATATTGTTCTTGATATGCACAATTTATAATCCACATGCTAGGACCTTAATTCTACTATTTATTAGTAAGCTTTGATGGACTAATCATAAGCCCCCTGTGCAAGACTGTAGGTCATGGGTCCCGTTGGGTTGATTTTAAAAAATAGTTGTGGATCATGGATCCTTGTAAGGGGTGAAGTGCCCTGACAACTGTTCTTGACCCATTGGTACAACTTTTTTTCTCATTTAAGTGGGAGTCATCTTATTAAATTTTTTTTAAGGTTATATAGTTTGGTATGTAATTGACCTTTTGAGTTTGAAATGTAATGAAATTTCTATTGACTTTGAATTGGATCTTCGTGTTGACTTTCATTTATAAAGTAAGAGTCCATATTTTATGGGATTATGGGAGATCTAGTTCTAGTCTAACTAGGAATGGTTATGGGTTGGAGATTCAAGAGATAAGGTTCCTAGATTCTTTCCGAAATCATGATGATTGATTTTAGAAATGGGTGGCTATAACTTGTTTCCTCTCTCACCTCACAGATTACCTGAGAATCCTATGGTCAAACTGAATTCTTATTAAGATGGGCATAATAAATCGGGGTCCTTAACCTCATTCAACCTATTAGAGTTCAGATCTCTCTATCTCCTACTTTCCTCTCCTCCATGCCAACCCCCCCCCTTCTCTCTCTCTAGGGCAGGTTTGCCCCTTCTAAAGGCAGGGCCATAGAGGGTGGTGCACCCTCCCATGCTAGGCAGAAAAGAGGGGCACACCTAGCTCATTATGTGTTAAGGTCAGGGTTGGTGCCTTTATGGTATGAGACGTGTTAGCTTTTTGAATGTGTTTCAAAACAATTTTTTTTTTTGGCTTTTTTCTCTGCCAGTTTAACTCTCTTTTTAGTCCTTAGTGACCACCTTTTTTCTCTCTTTCTAAAAGTTTTTGTTATTTTCTTTCACTGTGGTTTCCGACCTCAATGAAAATGGCTTGTCTCCCATCTCTCCTTTGTTTTATGCGCGAACCTTGGGGGTAAGGCGACGATACCACCTTAGGAAGTTGCTCCGTGGTTCCTCTTAAGGGGTCTTAAGGGGAGCTGGATTTAGAGAAATAGGGATCTCACTCCGTATAAAATAGAATGTCGTGTTATACATGCTTATGGGGGTCCCTCCAAGGAGAGGAGCTATAGCTGATCCTATTAATTGACCTACAATCCTCTCATTGGTATTATAGATATTATTTCTTTAGAATATGTTAAACTGTAGTGCATATCACAACGTGGTATACTAGAATTATGATATTAAAAAATTATAGGTTAATATCATGGTAAGCTAATTTATAATATGATTAAATTGTATTATTATAGTAAATTGCAGTACTATAACTATGACACTGGTAATATGCTAAGGTGTATAATAACGGATCGAGCGGTCATTGGCTCAATCCTAATTTTATCATATACTATTACTTAATCTTGTTTTATGTATGCTGGAGCTTAGATCAAAACCTCATTTCCAGTGACATGGGATCTAGCTCTCAGTTATCTTAGGATCTAGCATCTTAACTTGTTGAATGTACAGATTTCAGTCCTAATCCCAAGGAGCTTAGCGGTTCGGCGTTCCCCAAACCGATTTTGCTCTCAAGCCCTCTTCCGCCTCAAACAACTATGAGCATTGTACATTTTATTGAACCTTCTTCCCCCTTTTAATTTGTTGCCATGTCTTACTTCATGTGTTTTCTTCCTTCTACTCCATACCTGTCTCAACATGCCCCCAACACAACCTTTAAATATTCAAATATATAAACGTGAGGTAGAGGTTTTGCTCTCTCTAATCACAAAATACTCTCTCTCTTGATGCATGATAGGTCTTCTCTCTTCTCTCTTGCTCATCATATGAAGAGATTCCATTGAACACTCTAATATGACAATGTTGTATATGATTGAACCCTCTCCCTATCTACCATAATTTAATAGGGAATCAGAGATAAGAGAGGAAGAAGATATGAGAAGTATCAATTTATGTATGATGATTTTGGAAGAAATTTAACAGGATATTTTGCTATACCTTTGGTTTGTGAAAGAGCATATTTCTTTGATTCTTTTTGTATCATCCATTGATGGATACAATTTTTTTGTATCATTTATTGGGTCATCCATTGATCAATGCAAGAAAATTTATCCTTGTGTCTCATACGTAATCAAAGTCTCATGCATAATTATCAATAGCGTGCTAATTTTCTAGAGAATTTTGTCGGATTTTTTTTTGCAACCGATGTTTAAGGATATTATACTAATTGGAAGACATATTAGTATTTAGACTGTGGTTATGTACAGGTCTCTTGAGTGTGCAACTCAAGGACTTAGGAATAATTTTCCAATCTGGCTATATCCTGTTTGGTTTTGTGGCCTTTCAAGTCCTAGAGAGCTTGTAAATATGCACTTCAATGGGAGTGTGTGTGTTAACTGACCAAGGGTTGGGCGGCTTATAGCCCTGGTTATATCCAAAACCTTTGCCCTTGGGCATATGGCAATACCAAAAAGGATTTATAATGGTTATCCCTTGTTGATATCGGAGAGATGCTTAAGGATGTTTTTTTGTAAGCAGAATGTATTTTGTGGTCTCCTGTGTGCAGTTGTAGGCCTGTGAGAGCAAGAGCCGAGGCTGCAACAAACTTTTGCATGACATGTACACATGACAACTACATTGCTAGGAAGCAGCCCTTTAGAGGGACACGTGTGCATATGCATATAGAGAACCCCCTTGCACTTTGGTGACAAGTGCTACACTTGCTCTTAAAGGGGGGAGCTGTAATCCATATTCCAGAGTCATAGTTCCACTGTTTATTATCCAACTTTGAGAAGCCAATCAAGGGCCTCTGCTTTGAGATTGTGGGTCATGAGTCTTTGTTGGGTTGGATAAGAAAATAACAAGGGGTCATAGTTCTTGGGTTAAGTGGAGTGCACTTATTGTCTCTAATTTTGACCCATTGGTACTAGTCCATTCATAATATATTTTATTTTGGTATTCGAAATGTTTTAGTGATTTTTAGATATTTTTTCTGAATTTTAAAATTTTATTTCTGCTGTAATATTCATTAAACCACATGATCCCCTAATGTGGCACACTCTATTTTTTAAAACAAAATATGGCACTTTTAGTTGAAGTTAGTTAGATAGGGAATCTTCTAATTTTTTAAAGTCTACAAAGTTAAGGGTAAATTAAATTTGGTTTCGTATTCAATTGGGAGGCTACATCCGGACGACTTTCTAGTGGCCCTTGTCCTCTCCGGTTAGCCACCACACACAGGGGTCACACCCAGTCCCTTGGATAACCTCCATAGGCACAACTTCGATCTCATCAAGGGATAACCCCACCTTGAAACCCTTGTCGATTGTGCACAGACGCCATGGTTATGGGTTATATACATTTCCCTAAGCCATAGCCAGTCAAAGCTCAGGTAAGTCAAGGCATTAGGAATGCCTGATAGTCCAAACTGGACCACACTCCCACTGGAGCCAACGTATCACTATAAATAATATTAGTATATGCTCTCATGAGGCTTTTAAATGACCACATGACCCAACAAATGGCCCACGTCTTACCATAGGTGACATACATGTGGGCTTGGATCCTAGACCTCACATGTACCCTTCCAAATTTTAGAAATTATGAAAATGCCCTTTTGAAGGATTTTACAGCAGAAATAATTTTTTAACTTTTGAAAGAAATTTATAAAAATCACAAAAGTATTCCGAATACCAAAAATAAAATATTTAGATTTTAGAATGGATTGGTACCAATGGGTCAAATTTTTTTTTTAGAACGTCCAATGGGTCAAAATTAGCGAAAATATGGGCACTCCACTTGCTCAATAACTATGATGATCCACTACTGTTTTCTCATCCAACCCAACAAAGATCAATGACCCACAGTTTTAATGCAGGGGCTAATGATTGGCTCGTAAAGTATCAATAAATAGTACAATCATGATTCTATAATGTAGATTTCAGTCCATTCCTTTAAGAGCAAGTTTAACACTTGCAAGTACAGTGCAAAGGAGGCTCTCTCTATTCACATATACACGAGTCTCTCTATAAGGCTGCTTTCCATTAATGCAGCTGCCATGTGTATATGCCATGCGAAAGTCTGTTGAGGCTTTCACACTTGTACTCACAAGCCTATAACCACACACAGGAGACCACGCAGTTCTCCTTGCCTACAAACATCCTCCTTAGGAATCTCTCCGATCTCAATAAGGGATGATCCACGGTAAACCGTTTACGGTAGGGCCTCATGCCTAGAGGTAAGGGTCTTGGACATAAATAGAGCCATAAACCGCCCTTCTCGGTAGTCCCTCAAATATCATTTCACTTTCAAACTGGACCACACTCCCACTGGGGCCAACATATCATTATAAATAATTTTAGTACATGTTCTCATAAGGCTTTTAAATGAACGCATAACCCCAAAAAATGGCCCACGTCCCACCCATAGGTGGCATACATGTGGGCTTGGATCCTAGACCCCACATGTACCCTTCCAAAATTTAGAAATTATGAAAATTCCCTTTTGAAGAATTTTACAGCAGAAATAATTTTTTAAATTTTGAAAGAAATTTATAAAAATCACAAGAGTATTCTTAATACCAAAAATAAAATATCTAGATTTTAGAAGTGGACTGGTACCAATAGGTCAAATGTTTTTTTTTAGAGCATCCAATGGGTCATAATTAGCGACAAAAGGGCACTCCACTTGCCTAATAACTATGATCTACTGCTGTTTTCTCATCCAACCCAACAAAGATCGATGACCCACAGTCTTAATGCAGGGGCTAATCATTGGCTCGTCAAATTTTATCAATAAATAGTGGAATCATGATTCTGGAATGTAGATTTCAGTCTGTTCCTTTAAGGGCAAGTCTAATACTTGTAAGTACAGTTCAAAGGAGGCTCTCTCTATGCACATGTACACGAGTCCCTCTGTAGGGCTGCTTTCCATTAATGTGGCTGCCATGTGTACATGCTGTGCGAAAGTTTGATGAAGTTTTTGCCCTTGTTCTCATAGGTCTACAACAACACACAAGATACCACATAGTTTTGCTTGCTTACAAATATTATCTCTAGGCATCTCTCCGATCTCAATAAGGGATGATTCACTATAAACCCTTCTCGGTAGTTCCTCATGCCCAGGGGTAAGGATCTTGGACATAACCAGAGTTGTTACACCTCACAGCAATCTCTCCTTTCACGTTTCATATCTCTCTCTCTCTCTCTCTCTCTCTCTCTCTCCTTTGTTATCTAAGTTTGGAAACAAGTGTGCCAATTCTATTTTAATGGACTTGAGATGGACAATCTTGGGATTTTTTGATAATTCTTATGGATGGTGTAGTATTTTGGAGAGTTGTTTGGAATTTATCTCATAGTAGGGATAGTTTGATGCTCTATTATAATTAGGGTTTTGAAGATTGGTTATTCGAAAACTTTGTTAAGAAGGTAGGGGGAGTTTAGGGCTGATTTCATTATGGTAGAGTCTTTTCTCCATTGGAGCACCTTGAGCTTTAACTTGATAGAATCTACTGAATTTCTAGCCATTTTTCTGTTGAGGATTGTTTGGCTTTACTTCGTGCTGCGTCAATATGGTGCATAAATATAAGATCAATACATAGCACTTCAATTTGGTGCTTCAAAAGTTTATTGTTGAAGACACAGTTAAATAACAAGTCTATGATTTAACTAGGTTTCTTTTAAACACCCTAGGAAACAAATCTAGAGGATCTAAATGTTTTGTGGCGTTTACTCCGATTTCTAAAAGAACCTTGTAACATTGTGAATTTGTGTTTGTATGTCAATGCCAATTTGAACACATTGTAGTCATGAGGAATTTTGATGTCATGCAATTTTTCAAGAATGTATTCTTGCTTTGAAAATTTAATTTATGCAATTCAAAATACTAACATGCATGAGTAAAGTAAACAACTTGTGCCTAATCCATTTTTTAGCATGTTATGATGCATATATGAAATTAAATGCAAGCTCATGCTATACATTTCAATTGTATAATGAATAGATATACTTAAAATCCAGCAACTCGGGTTTAACTCGTGAAATCCTAACTCTTAATTAGTATTGCTGAAATTATGGTTGTACAAATCTCAGCCCTTCATGATACCCCATTTAATGTCTTATTTAAAGCTCTCTTTTATTTTTTGCAGCATTAAAAACTATCCTCAATATTTTTATGCTTGTATGCCTTTTTCTTTGAGTTTTTTATTTTTCCTCCAAATACCACCCATTTGGAGCTCTAGGGTGTTTATAGTTTTGGCCGAGAGATCAATTTGGAACTCTAAGTTCCGAACCAATTTGCCATAATTAAGTTGGTTCGGAACTTGAAGATTCAAACCACTTATTCAACCAAAAAAAGAAAAAAAAGAAGACTAGTCATTTGGTTCGGAACTTCAGGTTTCGATCAGGTTGACTAATTTTTTTAGAGTGAGGCAGTTCAGAACTTGAAGTTCCATACAACTCATTCAAGATAGAATATTCAAAAGGTCACCTGCATGGTGGCCCTGTACGACCATATCATACTCAAGTTAGAATATTCAAAAGGTCACCTGCATGGTGGTCCTGTATGACCATATCATACAAGACCGTGGGTCATTTTTGTGACCTAAAAATTTTCAAATGATATTTGATTCTAGTTCAACAATTACAAAAAGAGAAAAAATTATGAGATCTAACTTTGACTGATGGTTTGACCGCTGAATCATTTGTATACTATAATTTCAGAGGATCACCATTCAAGTGATCACTTGAATACTCTCACTTGAATGAGAAGCTCAATAAAATTGAGATAGAGAATTCTGTTCAAAACTTAAAATGAGAAATAATGCATTTATGTTCAGCCAGTCGTATAATTTTTTTTGAGCCCTTGACAGAATCTCGTTCAACAAATTTGGCATGGTAATGTGTGATGATGTTCATAGGATAGTAATGGTATGAATTGTTTTGACATCCATAGTTTTGGTATTCAACATTCCTCCTTTTCTATTGATGTTATGACTTTGGGCACTGAAAATTGATGTGATTGTCACTGAACAGGTTGGTTGCATTACCAGACTTGTCCCTCAGAAGGGTGTACACCTTATTAGACATGCAATTTATCGGACATTGGAGTTAGGAGGACAGTTTTTGCTTTTGGGTTCCAGCCCAGTGCCAAATATTGAAGTAAGAAATGATTTCCGAAGCATCTATATATCAATGTCTGGAGATTCTTCCTCCTGGACTGAATCTTGTGACATTATTCTTGAGGCATCATGGGCACTTTTACGTGGTTTTTCGTTTTATGACAGAATTTATATTTAACTCACTGGATTGCAGGAGTTGTTATGGTTAGTCGGCGATTAGGGCAATGAGTTGAAAGTTTAAGTTGTAACCTTAATTGGAACTTCCTAATACTGTTGAGGTATGAAGGGAATAACCTTCATTACCTTTCTCAAAACAAGAAAAAAGAAACAAAGAAATAAAGAAAAAAAAAGCAAAAAGAAAAGAAAAAAGTCATTGCACTGATCATGCTATAGGATTAGTTGTCATATCTGAGTGATTTACTTTGCTTCATGCTTCAAGAACGATAATCACATGGAAGAATGAATGTGCAAATGATAAAATATCCCTTTATGCACAAACATATGACATAAATGCAATGTCATGTAAAGTAAACCATTTCATATTTACTTAAAAGTTCATAGAATGGGATGATGGAAATAGATGTTATATGTTAGGTGGAAAGTAGCTCACACTTTATTTAAGAAAACAAGCTCGTTTTGAAGCTGGCCCAAAATCAGGATAATGGTTTAGTGGTTTCTTTTAAACCCCATTTAGGTGGTCACACATAAGAAATATTGCTGCTTTATAAGTAGATGAAAACTGAGCTGAAAACTACCAGTTTTCATCCGAAAATCCTGCATTCTGTTAGAAAGTCAAAGCACACAATCACCAAAATGTGTCTTGCTGTTTAAGTAGGGGTTATGAACAGTGTTTCCCAACTTAGTGAGTTGACTTCGACTCACCTCAGGAATTGAATTTCAAGGATGAAGCCAATTACATTTAGCGAAACTCTACAAAATTCTGATTAATAAAATGATGAACTATTTGGGGATATTCCCTTAGAGGCAACATCTCTATCCTCTGAAACATCAAGTTCTTATTAAACTTTATGAGTTATTTCCTTCTACCAGGAACTTTAAGAGGAAGATAGGTCCCCCTTTTTGTCGTTGTCCAAATCTTAATTCTTCTCCACTTTATTAGCACTTACCTTGTTCCAACTTTATATATGGTTGTAAAACAAAGCCTTCACTTGTCAAGCGTGTGTGCTTATGGCTTCATGGTGAGGTTCTCCCTTACGAAGGATGCTGTTGAAGGCCAGCAAAACATTTGAGCCATGTATGTAAGGAAGGATGCTTGTAACACTTAATACTTGGCAGACATTGTGTTGTCCTTGGAAAAGACAGCCTCATATTTCTAACAGAAAATCAAGGTGTGAGATGGCTTATTTAGTCATGAGCCTAAAATATCTTCAAATGGAGAAACATCCAATCTTGTATATTGAAACATATTAACTGGCCTGTGGTAGGCCCTGTTTCAGGAGATCACCTTCGGGTTCAAAGGACCTGCCCTTCCTCTTCTCAGAAAAACCGCTCACGGTCTCTCCCCTCCTCGGGCTTTAGAGAGAGTGAGGCGGGAAAGGGATGGCGTGTGTGCCGTGGCCTCCCTAGGGTGCATGTGCATGTGCGTGTGGGAATGAGGATGACCCTAATGCCCACTAGGATAAGGGTTGGGCGGTGCGGTGTGTGCGATTCGAACCAACAAAAGTAGTTTCGCGCCTCACAGTGGTGGGGTCGGACACGCCCCAGCGTATATGCCCCTCTTAGATCTCGGCACTCTTGAGGCACCTGCAGAAAGCCCCTCATCCTTTTGGCTTGGTTTGGTGCCTGCTTCTTCATGTCTTCACCTTTCCTAGTACACTCATTTGAATGGTCTGAGTCTATGACCCTTGGTTCGTCTCGAGAGGTTTGAGAGGGTTTAGATTTGGGATTGAGGGTTTATGCTTGAGGCATGACGGTTTAGGCTTAGAATTTAAGGGTTTAGGCTTGAGGAGACCTCTCAATAAACTTTGCCAAGCCTTCCAGCGTCACCTCCCCTAGGAGGCAATACCGGCGACTTAAGAAAGGTCCTAGGCACTAGGCCTAAGAACCCCAGAAACTAAGCAGAGGTGTGATCCGTGTTGGGAGCTAACCCCAAGCTTAACCAATGCACAAGCCTCCTTAAAGAGTGGTGGGTAGGTCAAAGAGTGGGATGGCTAAGAAGGGAAGAGTGGGTGAAGAAAAGAAGAAAGAGAGGGCAAAGGAGTTAGAGGGGAGACAGAGTGAGAGAGAAAGTAGGCAAAAAGAGGGAGGGAACCACTCAATAATCTTGTTTAGCCTTCTGGCGTCACCTCCCCTAGGAAGCAATACTAGCGACTTCTAGGCCTAGGTACCCCGGAAGCCAGGCACAGGTGTGATATGCGATGGAAGCTAAACCTAAGCTTAACCAATGCACAAGCTTCATTAAAGAGTGGCGATGAAGGAGGAAGCCAGGCACAAGTGTGATCTGCGATGGAAGCTAAACCTAAGCTTAACCAATGCACAAGCTTCATTAAAGAGTGGCGATGAAGGAGGAAGAGGAGGGAGAAAAAAAGAAGAAAGAGGGAGAGAAGAAGGGAGGGAACCACTCGATAAACTTGCTTAGCCTTCTGGCATCACCTCGCTTAGGACGGGATACCAGCGACTTAAGAAAGATCCTAGGCACTAGGCCTAGGTACCACGGAAGCTAGGCTGAGGTGCTATCTGCATTGGGAGCTGAGCCCAAGATTAACCAATGCACAAGCTTCCTTAAAGAGTGGTGATGAAGAGAGAAGAGGAAAGTGGAAGAAGAGAAGAAGAGAGAGAGGAGAAGAGAGAAAATAGAAGAGAAGAAGAGAGGAAGAAAAGAGAAGAACAAAGGAAAGAGAGAGACAAAGAGGGAGAGAGAGGGAGAGAAGGAAGAGGGAGAAAAGAGAGAGAATGGAGGAGACCACCGGTGTGAGAGTGCGAAGGGGAGTGAGAGAGAGGAGAGAGGTGGGGGGGGGAGATTCATGGCCTAGCTTCAGGTGAGAGAAGAGAGGAAGGCAGAGAGACTGGCGGCCTAAGTGCCGGTGTGAGTAGAGAGAAAAGAGAGAGAAAGAGAAATTGGTGGCCCAGCTGCCAGTGGGAGTGAGAGAGAGAGAGGGAGAAAGAGAGAGAATAGAGACTGACGGCTTAGCCGTCGATGCGAATGTAGGGAGAGAGAAAGAGAGAGGGGGGCAAAGAGAGAGAGAGAGAGGGCACCTATGTGGGAGAGACCAGTGACTTGAAATTGACAATTGGGTTGATGAGCCCAATGGCTTGAGACTGGTGCCTTGAGAGAGGTGCAGGTTAGGGTAGGACTAGGGAGGTAGGGTGTATGGTCCAAGCGAATAGGGTTGTATGCTGTATGGTTTAAAGGAGTAAGGTGTATGGTGTCTGGTTTAGTGGAGTAGGGTGTATGGTTCAAGGGGGGTAAGGTGTATGGTTTAAGGGAGTAAGGGTGTATGGTTTAGGGGTGTATGGTTTAGGGGAGTAGGGTGTATGGTCTAGTGATGTAGGGTGTATGGTCCAAGGGGGGTAAGGTGTATGGTCTAGGGGTATTTCTCTCAAGGGAAGGATTTTCTCTCTTCTCTCTTGGGTCAAGAAAGGAAGCTTTCGACTTCACTCAAAAGCAAACTTAATTGATAGAAAATAGAATTACAATGAATTAAAAGTTATTTTCATATTTTTTAGAAAATGACCAATTCTACCCCTAAGAAAATATGAAAATGACAAATATGTCCCAAAAAGGGGTTTCTTCCCATCCACATGGGGGCTTCTCCCTTGCGATTCAGCAACCTTTCGGGTGATCTATCGTTGTGGAAACGTATATTGTCTTGAGAGAAACGTTTTGATATATGTTTGCATCTTGACATGGAGTTTTGCTTATAGTTTCAAAATTTTGGCCAAACACACAAATTTGAAATCTTGAACGTTAGATCTGGTTGATCTGTCGTGTCTTTTGTCTTCTTTTTAGTAGTCAATCGTAGAGGAAATCGTTGCGACTGTTTTGCAAACAAAATCATGCGATTAAGACTTCGATTGATAACTTTATCAATTTTGGAGGTTGCCTGAAAATCGTTTTCCATCGTGCCTTCTACAGAGCCTTTTCGGTGTTTTCCCGGTCTTCACTTTGAGCAAATCTTACCTCAAATCGAAGCCTTTCGTGTGACGGTCGCAATGGTTTCGTTTTTAGGATCATTCGATCTCGGGGCTTCGAGGAACGTACGTCGAAGTGAGGAGCTGTCTTGCACGCAAAATTTTACATAATGCACTTTTCTGGGCAACTATCTCTTTAGGATTTCTCCCATCTCGAGAATTGTCTCGAGGCGTGCCATATGTCAAAACGTTCCTCTCAACGAGGGGAACGAGATATTAAAATTTGAGCTTAATCTGCCTTAGGATGATGGAGATACAACTCTTGTAAGGATGCCTCGTTTTTTTAAAAGCACAATTACTTTAAATGGAAACTGGTTCTTGATGGTCCCACATGAATAGTAAAAGCCTCGCCATTTTGGGAATGCAGGACCTAGAAAGGTCCATTTGAACTGAAATTTGGCAGTTAAGCTGGTCTTGGCCCTTCGAATCCATCAGCGGTGGTCTGACAACCATCCGAGATCAATAACTGGGGTTTTAGCTATGGTACACCTTGTGCACGTTAAAGAGCTGCACTCCAAATTGATTTTTTGCATGTTCCCTCGTATTTTTTTCGGATCGTGACGAAACTTGAGGGACGCTCTTGGGACGTCCAAAGAGGCTCCTATACATCGTTTGGGGTTAAGATGACACCATGACCATTGCTGTTCAAAATAAGGCATGTTCTTGCGTGGGCTTCCGTAGTCCATAGGCATGTCTAATACCTACGAGTCTTGGTCGTGACCACCTCCTCTTTTATTCGCATTGGGAAAAGATGTGCGTCAACAATCCACGACAACAGCTTGCCCCGCCAAATGTCGCTCTTCGAGGGGAGCGAGAAGTACGATATTCGGAACAAAATCGCCTAAGTTTATCTTTCAGATCCTTATTGGGGCATTGTTATATCTCCTA